GCTCCCAGCAGCTATGCCCACAGAAGAAGTGTTATCATGGACACACTTACGTTGTTTATAAAGGTTATAAAACAAACAGCTAACTTATGCTCATTCCATTGGATGTAGTTTTACCTGTTACTCTCAGAATGTTATATTAGATTTGCTAAATATTTATTTCCTTTTGTGTACCAAAAAAATTCATAAGAGTTTCAGGATGTGACCTGGATCTGGCATAGCTCAAAGGGATCACAAATGAGATTTTCCCTGGTCTTTCCCATTTAATAGACAAATTTTAACTTCTGTCTCCAGTCTAAATTTGTCTCAGCAGATTTTCACCTGTTTGACTCTGTTCCGGGATCAGCTGTGGACTGCAAGCTGGAATCTGGACTTCTGGAAACTGACATGATTGCTCCCTGCCTCTTCGGGTGGATTAACTAACCAGATGCTTGGGACTGCCCTATTGCCCAGCCTTTGAGTGGCATTTCAGCCTCCCTAGCCCCTGATGCCTACGGTCCAATGGTCAGAATTGAAGAAGCTCCAGAAGATGGATCTTCACCCATATCCCACCTAGCAGGCTGAAATGCTAAGTCAAAAGGGGCTGGCTCCCTGGCATTAACTATTATCTTGGGCATCTGCTTAGCTGAAATGGAAACTAATATTGCAGCAACTGGGCTAAAAGCCTAGAGAGATCCTAGAGAAAAAAGATAATAGTTCTCCTTGGCTTATATCTACCCTGAAGGGACCCCTACTCATTTTGATTTTTATCTTTGAGCCTTGTATTTTCAATTGCTTAATGGCTTTCATAAAGAAATGCTTGAGAGCAATACACTAATGGTACTCAGATCCCATTATAAAAAGGTAAATGTATAAGATACAAGGAGTCATGTCTGGAAGACCCAAGATTGGGTCTTCAAATGATCGTGGGAAAGGGGAAAATGAGAGCCCAAAAGATAAATTAGCAGCTATTATTAAGACCTGAAGTAGGTGGGTGGAGAAGTCCAATAATGCCCTGGGGGAAAGGACCGCCTGCATTCTTTCCTTACCCACTAGAGATAATAGTTGCTAGGAAACTGGCCCATCCCCCTAGGGAGGGACACCAGGTCATTATGGTCTGGGAACCTACCTATAACCAATCGATTCAAAATATAACATTTTGACCAATAGATGCTTGCCAGGCAGGAATCACCCCTGCCTTGGACATGCTGGGATGGACCAGAATCTTTAAATCACCCAACTAACCTGGGCACGGGTTCTCGGCTCTCACTGCTTTGGTGGTAGGGAGTGTGGGCCCAAGCTGCGGCTTGTAATGATTTACAATGAAAAGAACCTCATGTATTTACAATGGAGTCTAGTTATTCCTGGTCTTTTGGGGTTCGCGAACTGGGCAGAACAGTACCACCTCTTTCATCCTCATGCTTCTAGGCTGGCTTTCCTGTCCCCTCACCACTAGGATAAGCTCTACTGTGCTATCCATGTGAGGTACATGGCCTTCTCTCCTGGGTGCTGAAGCTGGTGAAGGACAGGCCCAGCTCTTCTGATCTCTTGAACCCAGGGCCAGGTCTCCCACTTGCAGCAGTGGTGAGGGGCCAGGGAGATGAGGGTTCATCTCCCTTGTCTGTGCCACCACATGAAAGAGAAGTGGCAGCTCTCCCACATTCATATCCTAGGGGGCCAGGCATCCACAAATCTCATAATGTGAGGCCCACTCCCCCAAGGACTGCAGCATGATAGGGGTGGAGTCAGCTCTCCTGTTCTCATGCCCCCAGGGCCAGCTTTCCCAGGATGTCCAGGCAAGGGGAAGGACCAGTTCTTCACAGCCCCCATGTCCCTTGTGGGAGCACAGACCAGGGACATCTGCCTGGCCTTTTGTGGTAACAGATTCCTGCTACTGCAGGTCCACAGAGCCAGGTGTATTCCATGGTGGCAGCAAAGGCCAGCATCTCACCATGGTCCCAGGTGGCATCACCTGCCACTCACATCAGTGAGTTAGGGCTGTTCCTCACTGCCCTCAATTCTCTAGTTCTACCTCTCTTCATTGTGCCCACATCTTCCTGTTTCCCCTTCTCTTCCATTTTTCCACAACTTACTCTCCTCTTAGCGAACCCCAGAATCTCTGGGTGTCTGGGGTCATCTCAGGAGTGGCTCTGCAGTGCACTATGGTACCAGACAGGGGTCATCTTCGGCAGGGCCTGGTTTCACCAGACCCCAGACTTGCACATGAGTGCTGGACAGGTGGTCATCTTAGGCCAGCTTCCTGTCCAAGCTTATGCTGTTTTTCTGGTGTTTGTCTCAGGCATACACCTCACTCACCCATCTGAGTGTCCTCATGGAAGGGTCCCACCCAGGCCCACATTCCCAGGCAGGGTTTTTCTTGGCTCCAGCTCACTCCCCACTCTAGGAGCCCATGCAGGCCGACTTGGAGCCTCCAGGTCCTCTGACACTAAACTGGTGGCTGTGTCAGTCTTACCTTCTTCAGGGAACATTAGGCTACTAATTATTCTGAGGTTCAGAGGTTCACAGGTCAGACATAGCCTCTCTCCTCTCTGCCATCTACTGACACATGTGACAAAGCAGCCACCTCTGCAAGGCCTCTGGCGAAGTCAGTTTAGGAGTCTTCATGGGTTTCTTTTCTCTACAAGTAAAAGAATTAAATGTAGAAAAAAATTTGGAGCACATCACAGAGTGTGGAGAGAATGAAACCTCAGACATAGCAGACAGCAGCAGCAGAATCAGCCTGCAAAAGGCTTTTTATTAGGGGTGAGGAAACACACAGAGCAAGACAGAAACCAGAAGATCCTTAGCAAAGCAGAATGAGCACTCAGGAAGCTGAAGCCCTGTCTCTTCTTGAGGTCTGGGGCTCTTAAGGGTCTTTCACCCCTATGTAGGATTGTTCACGTAGAACAAGACAGGAATGCTGATAGGACCACAAGCTTGAGATAAAAACACGCTGGTTGGTCTTTGAACTTGTCTGATTGGTCAGAAGATGGTGGAAAGGCTCTGTGGGCAGGATAAAACCCACTAGGCCTTTGTTTAGGTCACCAAGCTTTTGTCTCAGGTCAGGAGCTTAGGCAAGAGGCCTGCCATCTTGTAATTTCACTATCTTTATGATCTGACCATGGCCTCTCTCTACCTGTGCCTCTTCCTTGTGTAAGAAAAGCCCTTCCAAGCTCTCCCTTCCCTCTTGAGCTCCGTTTCAGCCTCTGACTATTTCTTTCCAAATCCTTGCTTTCGTTGTTTGCTCTTTCATTTTTCCTCACATTTCCCATTTACCCCCTCCCTTAAACATCGTTCCCTTTCAGCCACACGGATTAGAAAACATGCAGCCCTACAGTTTCTGATGGGGAAAGCATGGTGCTGGCTGATGTGTTGGGCTTTGCCAAAGGAAAGTCTCTGAAGAAGCTACCTAGAGCAGCAGCAGCCCTGAGACTGTGAAGAAGCCTGTGGCTGCTTCTATCTCCCAAGCTCAGCTCCCTTCACCAGCCTCCTGACCCTGACCCTGACCCTGACCCTAACCCTAACCCTAACCCTAACCCTTATCGGTTATGTCTTCTGAGCATAACTTCTCTTTCATCAAGTAGATGATCAATACATAAACACTTGCTCAATGTTCTCACTTCTGTTTGTGCAGTTTTATTGTAGCTTTTCATTGTAAGTATAGCGCCTGTTGTATCTCAACAGTTAACTTTATCATTTGCATCAAAACTTAAGAATCTAAAAACAGTAACAAATGACCTGTTTTTTTTTTTTTAAACATTTGGTACTAAAAATATCTAATATGTTATACACCAGTTAGATGAAGGTTTTCCTAAAATTCAATTTTTAAAGGGAATTTCCTTTTTTAAAAATTAAAATGGTGGGGGCTGAAGAGATAGATTTAAAATTTAATTACATTTAGACAAATATATTACAAAGACTCAAAATAAGTTTACTTGTTTTGATGGTATGTGTATGAGTGTTTCCCTGCCTGTATGTGTATGCTCCACACGCATACCTCAGGCTCTCTCAGGACAGAAGAAAGTAACAGACCCTGCAGAACAGGAGTTATAGGTGGTTGTGTGTCACCATGGGAATGCTGGGAATAGAATCCTGGTTGTCTGCAAGAGCAGCAGGTGCTCTGACCTGCTGAGTCATCACTTCATTCCTAAAATGGAACTGTTTAAAACTTAGCAATGTATAAATTTCTCTATCTGTGTGTAATTGTGGGAGTGCCTGTCCGTGAGCCAGATCTCCCTGTGGAAGTCAGAAGACAACATTCAGGAGACAATTTTCTCTTTGGAGCACCCAGATGGCTGGAGTTGGAGCTCAGGCCCTCAGGCAAGGTGGTAGATAACTTTCCCCACTGAGCCATCATCTCACTGTTCCTCACACAGAATGCTTTCACTAAGGATGCCCACCATGACTGAAAACCTGACCCTGCAGCCCTGCATGCCATCACTGCTAACTCCACTGCCCTTTCCAAGTGCACATCTCTTCCCCTCATGATTACAAATGTTCATTCCTTGTGTTCCTGCTTCCTGTTTTCTTAGATTAATGCAGCTTCCAACCTGTCACCAAAGATGTGTCATTCAATAGACAGCTGGTGCCCTATGAAGTTCTCTGCCAGTGATGCTCCCATGAGTTCCCATTGTTCTGAGAGTACTTCAACTCCCAAGGCTGTCCATGAGGTACCCTACCCAAATGCATGTCTCCACCCCTGACCTAGCCTTCACCTCCAAGTGTTTCTATGCACCTCAGGACAGTGGTTGTTCTTTGGCAGCAGATTGGTAGGGCGTCCTCTGGGCCAGTTTCAGGGTATCTCAAGAGCAGGGATTCATGAGGCCATGGTAACATGTCCTCTTAATTCCTTGGTCTTCAAAGTTCAGAGCCACAGTTCTGAATGCCACAATCCCAAGTAATCAAAAACATATAAACCCCAAAAGCCTGGAAGCTTTAGTCTGGAAAAACAGTAAGAATTCTTTGAAAGACAATTGATAATGTTATGAAGAGATCATTTATTTTAGAAACAATAAAATGGCAGAACATTTTGTTGGCTTACGACTTTTGGTATGTATAACTATGCAAACACAGTGAAGATTCAGCGAAGAAAGATACAAGCAGATGAACTGCATTCATAGAGTCACAGATATGAGAACAAAGTAGATGAAAAATGAAGTAGATTTTAAAATAAGCTGTATTGATAAATCAATCAGAACAGGAAATGTGGCTAAGGAGGATTGGGGTCTGTGAGCACCCAGCTCACAGCCCAGCCATCGGGATTCTCAGGAAGGGCCACCATCTCTTGAGGAACACCATCAAATCACAACAGGTTGCCACTACATAGAAACCACCCCTAGGGGCCCAAGTGCTTACAAATATTATCATTCACAAACGCAGATGTACAACAAGGACACTGCTTCCTTTATGAAGGAAATACCAACATTCTAAATTTATACATAATACTCGCTCATAAACTCAGTGCTGCCAATACCTTTACATTAAAGGTATTAATGTACAGCACAACAAACTTGATACGAACGTAAAAAATACAGCAAATCAAACCGTAAATGAATAATATCGACATCTTAAGCTCATACTATCATTACTTCGTAAGGAACAATCTCACACATAGAAAATCCAGGCCATGCCATAGCCCATAGAGACTGCTTGCATTGCCTAATTCCTGAGATCTCTTGACTGTCTTTTTGTAGCCTTACACCCAGGAGACACAGTGTTTCCTTTAAGAGAGAAGGAACTCTCCTCACAGAAAACAGCTGTATTCATTTTCTATGTGTCTTTGATTTAATTCTGCATACTTTGAGCCTTGTCTGTACAATTTGGATATGTGGAAAAATCCTTGTCAGGTTTTCACACACAAATCACATATTGAACAGCAATAACACGATACTGAACAACAACACTTAAACGAAAACGTCTTATTATGTAGCCTCTTTCTTCGTTTTCTGTACTAACTGCATAGGAAGAGTGTCTTCCAAGCATGAAGGCACCATGCACTTCATCAGGAAGGAGTGGCTATGCAGACAGAGACTCTTATTAATCAATTGGTCAATCAATCAATTAATTAATTTTGAGGCAGGGTCTCTGCATAAGCCTGCCGGCCCGGGAAATCTTTACATAGACCAGATGACCTGCCTCCCTCCAGGCACTGAATTAAAGGCATAGGCCACATGCCTGGTTCACAACATGTTTTCAAAGCTATGCTTTCTCATTGCCCTCTTGAATGGCCAGTTCCTTTCCCAGAATTTGGTTAGTAGTCCTGTGCAGTTATTCAAAGACACGTTTCACATAGTTTATAGAATCAGAGAACACTATCACTTATACAACGTGAAGCATCATTGTGCCATAGTCCATTTTCCATGTCAGGTCAAGCTCCAGCGTGACCTGGACATTAGGACATTCCTCGAAAAGTAAAGTATCTAACTGTGTGTCTAAATTTTCAGAGGTAAACTCTATTGGGACATGCAACTATGACAGACATTAGCAAGAGCTTTCTCTAAGTCCACTACTGTCTCGTTTGTCAGATAATAGCTGATGGGGTAATGTATTTGCGAGCTTGAATCATATAAGCACATTGCCTTACGACCCAAGTATGTTATCTTTATCACGATGCCTATTTTCCCGGGGTAATTACCAAGATTTACCAGCGTCTGCTTTAATATTAGTGCAGTTTGTTTACAGTAGCCCTTTAACTTGGAGCCTAGTTCCCTCAGAACAGTTCTATCATCTTCCAGCTCCTCATCTCCACGGACAAAGCTGTGCAGGGTCAGGAGACCATCCTGGGAAATATGAAGCACATCCGAGATGATGACTTCCTGCTTCTCTTGCAGGCCCAGATCCAAAACCCAGCTCTCAGGGATGAGCAGCCTTCCTTTATGAAGTGAGTCCCACTCTGTCTGGAGTAACTGCTCACATCTTCGCTGTTGTGAGAACCTTTGTGTGCACATGGCTGCTGGGGAGCATATCATCGTTCCAGACCCCACTAGAAGAGATAAGATAAACGTAACAAGTTACAGAGGCCAAATGCGGTTAAGTTCCACACTTTGCATCCAACCCAGAAGGTGAACACACAAGATACCCAACACTAACTCAAGAACTGCAGAGCCAGAAGTGCAAGGGAGACTTGGAAACTCAAACTGCCAAGGAAAGAGAGGGGAAGCAGCTGAACACTCACACTCCTCCCTTCTCCACCACAGGGAGCATCACAAGCTTGTTCTGGAGAACTCCAGGGTAAGAAGAGTCGGGGGAGCAAAGGGCAGGCTAATGTGAAGACAGAAAGTCAGTCAACAGGAAGCATCAAGGAGCTGATGAGACAGGAGAAGAGCTCGGGGAAACAGGAAGCTCCACAGAGCAAAGGAGGGAGCAGACCCCATTTCCAGAGCTCCAGGGATGGGAAGAGGATGCCTCAAAGGGGCCCACAGAGTAGGCTAAGCCTCCTCAGGTGAGCATAGATTTGCACAGCCAAAAGGTAAAGCACAGGTCTTGAAAGCCTTGTATCCAGTACAGGAATTGGAAGGGACACTGTTACCTTCTACTTGACACCCATAGGTCTTAGAAGCCTTCTATCCAATGCAGGAGTTGGAAGGGACAATGTCACCTTCACCTGACAGGTTTGTAGGGTATGATTTTGTAAAACCTAGTTTAGTTAGGGTTCTTAAACACCTCTACCTCCCTTCCAACCCTCAAAGTTAGATAGGAGAGAAAGAAGGTTAGAAGGAACAAAGACCTCTTTAGAAGTAACTCCTTGGGGGTGATTCCACTCTGTCATCCAGACTCCACAATCCAGTCAGACAGCAAACAGCAACAGAAATCAGCAGAAGCAGCACCAAGATTTCTCTGGAACGTAGCGAAGCAAAGAAGTGCGAAACAAGGAGAAGCCAAGCAAAGGGTTGTCTATCTGTCTGTGGGCTCTTATTTATCCCTTCTCAGATTCCTCACAAGGGTGTTTTCCAGCTGGAAAAAACCAGACCTCTTGCACCAGGCAGTTTCCAGCTGACAGAGATCTTGCACACTCGCAAGAGTCTGTTTTCAGCTGACAAAGATCATGGTCCCTTTCACGAGTCTGTTTTCAGCAGTGAGTAAAGCATTTCTGCATCCCACACTTGGGACCAAAAAAAAAAAAAAAAAAAAAAAAAAAAACAAACACATAAAAGACACCAAAACCTCCAACGGTTAGCAGTGGAGAGGATTTTGTCTGTCCTGTCTCAGAGTGTGACATGTTGCCAGTTGCTATCGTGTGTGTGTGTGTGTGTGTGTGTGTGTGTGTGTGTGTGTGTGTGTGGAGCAAGGAAGGCAGCTTTATTGGGGGTGGTTACTGTTTGAGACAAAGTTACTCTAGGGACCTGGAAACAAGTAGCAATCGCAATGCAGGAAGCCTGGACACAAATTTCAACACAGAGCACAGCTTACGCAAGAATATTTGGACATAGTCACAGCCACCACCCTAGGCAGCCGCAGTGAAAGTACCTGGAAACTGAGCACTCTTCCTCATAGCACTCTTCCTCATAGCATCTGGATTGTCACAGAAAAACTGAGTACAGGGACTGCGTGGTGGGGTGCTTGCCTGAAGAGTCCGTTTCTCACCTCGCTTAATAAAACCTGAGAAGACAAAGGTCATTTTAAGTTTCCCATAGGCCGTACTATTCAATAACTGTTGAAAAAAATGTATTAAATGTCTCAGTTGAACTGTTTTCCTAATAGAAAATGGGGTTAGGTTCTGAGGTTACATTTTGAGGTCAAATAAAAATTGCAAAATTAAATTTTGATGATGCTGAAGTGCTCTACACTCATGGAAACATAACAGTGGAAAGTGTAGTCATAGGAGCCGAATGTGTTGACAATTAAATGGGGCCATTTTACTTTGTGTTATTTGCTTTTTTCAGCAGGACACAGGGTATCTCAAAGCCCACACTGGCCACAAACTGACTATGTAGTCAAGCATGAGCTTGAGTTTCTGATCCACCTGCCTCCACTTCCAGAGACTGTGGACCATAAGGGCATCACCATGCCCAGTTCTACGGTTGTATGTAGCACAGCAATTGAAACCAGGCTTTCTTACAAGCGAGGCCAGCACTGTTCCAACTTAGAAATGACCCCATGCTCTGTTTTTTATCTTTCTTTAAAAAAAAAAATGACAGTTAAATCCAGGAAAAAAAAAAACAAACAAAAAAAACAAAACCTGCAGGTTGGTAAAGAACTGAGTTTGTGAGGGAGTTGCATTTTCAGAGATTTTATGAGTTTCTGGTGCTAGTTCCATGTGGAGCTTTTCTATTCTAAAACCAGATTAAAATGGCAGCCTTTTTCTTTCCTTCTGACAAAAATGTAGGGTTCCATTTTGTGTAGTAATGTGAGAGAAAGGAAGAATCTCACATGTAGATTTTGGGTGAAAGGGAAAAGAGATTAAAAAAAAACTGTAATGGGCAAACACTAGGCGAGGTTCTGAAATGAACACAGTGCATCCAATACTTGCTTGGAGAACAACCAAAATGGCCAAACAAAAAATAGTATTCTTTTCATAACCTGAATTTGTGATTTATCTGTCACTGTTAGTGAAAGATGACAGACAGAAAATTGACAATGAGAAATGAGATCAGGGCAGCGTGTACCTCAGGGTGGGCTACAGAATTTGTTGCAGTAGGAGAGATTTGAACAAGCAAGCCAGGAATAGTCTGGAAAGAGGCAAAAAGAACTTGATCGGCAGCTCTGATTGGATTTGCAGAAGTTCAGGTTACAGATAGGACAGTGTCCATGAAAGGCTAGCTGATCTGCTTTTTGATGGAAATGGCCATGCCAGTGAGACTAGAGACCACTTTCAATATTCTTTTGCAGGACACTGGGGCGCACTTTTCCCTGGCCTGATACGTGGCAGGAATCTCAGTTCAGCCTCCTGTGAGAGGTGAAAAGGCCTTTGAAGAGAATTATGAGTTCCAGCCACTAGGGAAGAAGGCTGTATCAAACATGGCCAATGTGAGGGAAATGGTTTATAGTGTTGCTGAAAGCAGCTAAGACACTTTCCATAGGAAATCTTCTAGTGTGTAGAAGAAAAGAAGAGGCTGAGAGCTAAGGACTGTATCTAGCAGGGGTCAGTAAACTAGCTCTTGACACATGAGCAATTTTAAGGTTGGCCAAGTCCCAGAAAGCAATCTTCCAATCCCCTTAGCCAAACATAAACTGATAATCTCCTCTCCTCAACCTGCAGTGGGATCCATCTGGAGCTTGACCCATTCCTCCGCAGTAAACCTCTTCACGCAGCTGTCTTCCACGTGCCAGGACTCAGGCTCTGCAGCGAACACTGCACAGCAGAATCTCTCCACTCTCAGCGCACAGACATATGAACACACAGCTCCTGGTCTGTGCACTTCGATGAATCTGCACGTGTACTTTATGTTCTCCTTCTCCTCACAGAAGTGAGTGACAGGCAGTTGCTGGATGCACTTTTCTATTTCACTCTCTAGATGCACAAGATCGCTCTTTTCTGCTTCAAAACCAATTATTTGCCGTTTCTTCCCATCTAAACCAATGAACAAATATCCCCCATCTGTGTTTGCAAATGCAGAGATATTTTGAGGGAGAATCTCTAAAATCTTTTCTTTGGGGGACAATTTAACTTCAGCATGTGTGGATTCGGCAAAACAGAATGTCTCCTCATAGGACAAGCATGCCCTGTTAAATAAGTCAACACATTCATTTGGTACTTCATTACAGGAACTTTGTCTGGACCCTGATGTCTCTTGAGAGTGCTTCACGGCTCTGAGGACCTGCACTGCTTCAGGTGCTTTCAGTTCAACTGAAAATGACAATTTTCTCTTGTAGAAATTAGTTTTCTTGGTGGTGATACGCTGAAGTAAGTTATTCCGTGTCCATGCTTTCACAAAAATGAAAAAGTAACATCTGTCCTGCATGAAATCTAGGTGTTGATGAATTAATGGCAGGATACCGCGTAAAGCATCTTCCAAGTCCAGTCCTATCCCATCTCTGGTGAAGCTGTAGTTTTGATTTTTAATGGGAGCCTTGACCACGCCCCCTCCAGAATTCAGCAGAGCACACACAGCCAGTGAGACATTTTTGGCCTCACTTCTTCTCAGGTCACAATTCTTCATCAACTTCCTATTCTTCTCTCCAAGTGTGATTTCTCCTGGCGATAGGACCAGTTCAGCATAGTCTGTCTCCTTATCGACACTGACATTCATTTTCCAAGCACTCGCTGTGTTTCCCAGATGAAATCCTTTCCTGTAAGAGACAGAGCCATTACAGAAGAACCTAAGCAGTGAGAGCCAGCTCTGCTTTACCAGGCCCAGCTCAACCATCTATAAGACTCTGGATGAGAAAGTGTGACATTCAGAAGTGATGCTTGTTTAGGGACTGTTGGGACATTTTTAACTGACCACAATAACGGGCACTTTGTAAATTTTAAACCTGCTGACATGGTTGTATATTATCCTCTTCTAATAGTTTTGAATTAAGAAACTCCGTTGTCCCAGTTTTCCTACATTGTACTGTGTTATACAAGAAAATTAAACATTTTTTAGTCTTTTTTTAAATCTCTATGAGTTGTCTGCATGTATGTGTGTGTATCATGGGTATGGCTGGTACCCATGGAGGTCAGAAAAGGTGTTAGATTCCTTGAGGCAGGAGTGTTGAGTGGTGTGACCCCATATCAGTGCTGGAAACTGGAGCCTGGTCCTTTGCAAGAGCAGTAAGTGCTCTTAAGCTCTGAGCCAACATTCCAGCCCTACAAAGAGACATTTAACATAAGTTCCTGCTGCAGACTGAGTATGTTCTGTCTAACCTCTCTTTGATGACCCCATCTCATCTGTTCTCACGCTCCCTTAGACATTTTCCCCTCTACTTTCATGTCTCATATACACACATGGTTTTACGGATGTATAAAATATCACAACTGAGAAGAGTATTTTGAGGTTTGTCTTTCTGAGACTGGTTTCATTCACTTAATCTGATTATGTCCTGTGGTGTCCATTTCCTTCCCCCCTTTCTTTTGTGGATGTTGGGGTGACACTCAAGGCTTTGCATGGTCAGGTAAGCATTCTCCAGGAGGCACACCACAGCCCCTCTCCTCCTTCAATGTAGGCATTCTCCATTCTCCATCTTTCTCCTGGTGCTGCCTCTATGTTGTCAGGTCTTATTTTTGTCTTTTCATTTTCTCAGGACATTTTTTTCCTAATCTTATGATGTCTTATTTAAGCCATTATTTAGACGTTCTCTGTTCCAGTCCTGGGACTTCTGACTGACTTTCTCATGCTGCTTCTTACCTCTTCCCCATATGACAAAGGACAATCATACAAATCCAAATCAGACAAAGGACAATAAAGAAAGTTTACATACTTTGAATCTTTCAGTCTTCCTGGCCTGGAATGCCGTCTTCCCTGGAGAGCCTTCCCGGGACACTTATGTTGAGCACAGGTCTCTGTGAATGTCTGTCGATTCACATCTTTGACCACCTGTCCAGCCATCATGTCTTCAAATAACTTCTCACCTCCTTTCTTACTTCAGATCCTGGGGATGGAAACAGTTACTGTGTTAGTGTTTGTGAGCATGGTCCATGCAATGTTGGGCTCTGGGTGTTTTCTTCAGGTCCTTTTTATGCTCTTTGGGTTGCATGGTTTCCTTGGTCTTTTCTTTAACTTACAGGGTTTTTTTTTCTGCCTACTAAGGCTGGTATTGAACCTTTTCAAGTATTGCTTTTACATTCCCTTTGTGCAGTCTTCTAAATCCTGTTTGGTTCCTTTCTGTAATATTTAATGAACTTATTTATTCTGAAAAGTATTATACTGGCTAGTAAAATAAATCCTAACTACCCTGTCGTCTAACTACAGTTAGTCTAGTCCTCAGAATCCAAGGCAGGGCAACTCCATCTTGCGGTGAAACTCCTTCTTCCTTGTTCAACATGGCAGACTCTAGAAAAGAAGCCATGCTTTCCACCCTTGGGCAGTGTGTGCTGATATCAGCAGAATCCTAATAAAGGCCCATAAGGTCTTCCAATAAACACAGTTTTCTCAGGGCTGGAGAGATGTCCTAGCAGTTAATTGCACTGAGTGCTCTTCCAGAGGTAATAGGTTCAATTCCCAGCATCCATTGGTGGCTCACAAACATTTGTAACTCAGACATTCTTGCAGAGAAAGTACTGATAGAGACAAAATAAATAAATTATGAAAAATTAGTACTAAAAATATTTTAAACACAAATTTCCCACAATACTAATATACTTGGATTACTGCTGCCCTCAACCTTGTTCTCTGCATGTAGCCCTGGCTGTCCTGGTCTCACTCTGTAGACCAGGCTGGCCTTGCACTCACAGATATCTGCCTGCCTCTGCCTCCCTGAGTTCTGGGATTACAGGCCTGAACCACCGTGTCTGGCTGTGTTATTGTTCTTAAAACTTTTTTTGTATGGATGTTCTTCCTGTGTGTATGTCTGTGAACCATCTGTATGGTGTCTTTGGAGGCCAGAAGATGACATTGGGACATCTGACTGGGAGTTACAAATGGTTGTGAGCTGCCCTGTGGATGCTAGGAATAGACTGCAGGTCCTGTAGAAGAGCAGCCAGGGTTCTGAATTGCTGACCACTCTTTTCCACCTTTGTCTGTCTGTCTATCTTTGTTCCTTTTTTCCTTCCTACTTCATTCTTTCTTTACTGATATAACTGTTGTGTATTCAGAGTAAACACTGACTTTTAGTGCTAGGTCTGGTGATGCATCCTGTAATCCCAGCTAGCCTGGAGGCTGAGGCAGAAAGTTCACAAGTTCAAAGCCAGCCTGAAACAGCAAAACTTATTCTCCAAATACCAAGTTCACAGCCCTTGCTCAGTGTGTCCTTGCCCTAGGATCCACACTCAGCTCACAAACATAAATCTAATTTTTATAGCTTTCAAAGGAGAACACACTGTTGTTTGCTGTAGGCACCCTGTTCTGCCACAGCCCCTCTCACATGACAGACATTTTATAGTCCCTCAGTAACAACTCCCAACAAGCAAGTCTACTTCCTGCTCACTGCTGTCGTAGTTCTACTCCCATCAAACCAGGTGCCTTAGCTTCCTTACCTAAGTGAGTTCATACAGGAGTTTCCCTTCTGTGCCTGGCTTACTTTACCTGACAGAATGTCATTCAGGTTCACCCCGGTATTCACAAATGACTATATTTCCTTCCCTTTAAGACTCCATGCCAGTCCACTGTGTGTGTGTGCTAAGTACATCTTCTGTACCCATCATCTGTCTGTCTATCTTAGGCTGATTTCACATTTTGACTTTTCTGAACTGCAGCCACAGCCAGGGACATGCAGGTATCTCTCTGGCATAAGAGTTCACTCCCCTTGGACATAACTAGTAGTGTTTCTCACTTATTGAGAAGCCACTATGGTTTACAAGATATCTGCTCTCATTCATATTCTCCCTTCCATGCTGTGCAGTGAGCTCTTTCCTGAACATAGGTGACCACGTGGATCCTTCATCTTTTTGATAATGGATTGCAGGAGCAGGAGCTGGAGAGATGGCTCCGTGCACAAGAGCACCCGCTATTCTTACAAAAGACTCAAGTTCCATTTATTCACATAAAAGAAAATTAGTCTTAAACTGAGAGGATGGCTCAGCAGTTAGGAACACTGGCTGCTTGTCCAGAGGACCCAGATTCAATTCCCAGCATCCCCACGTGGCTCATCGCCTCTGTAACCGCAGCTCCGGGTGTTCTGTCTCCCTCTTCTATCTCTGTAGGCACCGGCACACACATGGTGTACACACATACACACAGACAAAAAATCCGGAGTTATATCTTAATAATGTAAAGAATAAATAAATCAGTCACTGTGACAAGAGCAAATCATATTTCCCGTGCTTCCTGCATCTCCTCAGTGATTAGTGACATTAAAATTTTTGTCAAATGCCTCTTGGCCCTTCATGAATCTACCGTGAATGCCCCCTACTACTTCTGCCTCTATCCACTGTGGACTCCTGAAGAGACCAGGATCTGGGGCTTCTCCTCTATCAACACCCCAACTGTGGGATCTGGAATGTATCTCTTTAGTGCATTTGTAGCTTGGATGTGTCTTTAGTGTGAGCTCTTTCATCCTTCTCGCTTCAGTTTCTCGTTGTAGGTTCAAGTCTCTAAGAGGATGGGGCATCCTCAAGGGGCTCTGATGACCTACACCAACCTCTAGAAGAGGTTGTGGAAATGCCAGGGAGACAAAGCTACTAGGAGAGACAGAAACTATCTGGGGTTTACCGGAGAGGGTGGATGAATCACCAACCCCCTTTTCATCCCAGAAAAATAGACTGGACCTGCCCTTGGGGGACATAAAGAGAAAGAAAATACGGTAGCAGGAGGCTAGTAAGGACCTGGATTTCTTGATTTGTCCTGGGATCTGAGTTCCTTGAAGTCCTTGGTGTTCAAATAGGGAACTTCAGGTTTTGTGGTCTCCTCCAGAATAGGGGCCCTGCAAGGATGAGAGTTCCTTCAATGTTGAATGCAGTTTCTTCTTGATAAATCATTAACTTTTATGAGTTCTGGTTGTGGGTTGGGCGTCTTTTGTTTTTGTTTAACATTTCTATAGAAGAGATAAAGTGCTTTTGTCTCTTCCTCTTCCTTCTCTCTCTGCCCAGGGTTAACTGAACTCTGGTCTCTAACCATCTCTCTCCGCCTCAGCCTCCCCAGTACCTGTGATTACAGGCACATCCCATCATGCTGTTATCATGTCCAGGACAACATTCCACCTGTTATTATTTGACTTACGATTCTGTGTATATGAGGCTCTTGCAGTATCACTGTTGAGAGATGTGGGTATGGAGTTTACAGCAGCTTCAGGAAATGAGTAGGAAGTGCTGGCTTCAGGGACAAAGCTCTGCCCTGATTGTGGACCCTTCTGGATAGAACAGCTGTGAAGCACACAGGTGTGGCCTTGTTAGAGGAAGTGTCACTTAGGTGGGGTTCGCTTTGTGGTCTCCTGTGCTTAAGCTCCGCCCAGAGTGAAAGTAGTCTCCTCCCCAGGCTGCCTGAGGACACAGGCTCCTGACTGCCTTGGCTCAGGATGGACAACTCTCAGCTCCAGATGTCTGCCATGTTTCCTGCCATGATGATGATGGACTAAACCTCTGAAAGTGTGAACCAGCCCCAATTAAGTGTTTGACACTGTACGAAAAAAGTTGCCTTGGTCTCGGTGTGGTCACAGCAATAAAATCTTAACAAAGACACCGGGAACTATAGATGGGGAAGTTTGTGAGCTACCACTCGCCTGCTGGGAACCAAACCCAGGTCCTCTGCAAGAGCACTAAGTGACCTGAGCCACTGAGCATCCCTACAGACCCTGCATAAACTGCCACTTAGTATCATATTGAGTATTAATGTAACGGTTCTGACTAAGGTCAGGACAGCTGAGATGAGAGATGGCTTCAGGGCAGATGATGTAATATATGTGAGGATCAGGGCTCATCCTGACTGAAGCTTGAGACATCTACTGCTTTTCACTTATTTAAATTCTGTTTCTGTTACTTTTGTCTCTATGCCTTTTGAGGCAGGCTCTCGCTATGTAGCTTTGCTTGCCTGAAACCTGCTTTGTGGAGCAGGCTGTCCTCTTATCTCACAGAGATCCACCTGCAAGTGCCTCCCGAATGTTGAATTTAAAGGCATGTGCGTCCCACCACTCGTGGCTTCAGGACTGACTTTCATTTGGCCCAATGGCTCTCTCATAAAGCTCCTCAAATCTACGCCTAGATATGGTTCAGGGATATTAAAAAAAAACTATTAGAATGGATCATGGGAACCCTGAGAAGATATAAAAATATTAAATTGCACAAAGTAAGAAATAGATTTCTGAAGAAGAAAGATTTTGTGGGAAAAGAGTTTGACTCTAGGAAACCAATTCAGATGAAAACTAAAGGATGTACCTGAATTCCTGACTCATTCTACAAGGAGGTAATATTATGCAAGACTACAAAAATGGCAGGCACACTACAGAAGTTCCCAGAAGCTGACTTCTGGGTCACGTGATAAACTGCTTAGATAGGTAGTATTCACATTTGGGCTTTCCCAGAAACTTTGTCTTGGGCTGGTCTGTGGAGGCATACTCAAAACCCGACAGGAAACAGGCCCAGAGTTCTCTGTCTATTACAAACCAACACCTTCCCTCCAGGTTGCCAAACCTTTAGATCTGGGCAAGCAGAAAGACACTCACTGTCCCAAGCGAAGTTCAGACTGGCCATGCATTCAGATAGGCCCCAGCTAAAGGGAAGCATTTGAACACGTGGTGAAAGTACACAGACAGAGTCAGGCTGGAGGAAGAAGTCTTGACTCCCAGAAGATGAAGAGCAACGAAGCCAGGTCAGTGTAAACGCTCACTCACATTTACACTGAAAGCTTACCAAGGGTGTTCATGTGATGGAAATCCGCTTGAAACACACAGCAAGATGTCTGTTTGCACCTTGATGATAACTCTGCTTCATGGAAGAGCTAATTAGTGTGAGTGTGTGTGAGTGCCAGTTACTACCTATTTCTACACAGGAGGGCTGCCCAGACAGGAGCCTGCTTTCCCTAAGACCCTGCCAGAGATCTTCAGCTCCACCTAAAAGGCTGCGAGGAGCCAAGGCTGGTTGGTGTTGGCCTTGGGAAGCTGGTGTAGGCATTGTGAGCTGGAGGCATGCAGAACACGCACAAGGAATTACAGGCCAGCCTGGGGTACACACCAAGACCCTGTCTGCCTCCCTCCCCTCCAAAAGGCTAAAACAAAACCACAACCAGGCTAAACTGGATGTGAAGAGGCCTGTACTGCTGAGAAGGGAGTCGTTTCCTTTCTGCCTGGTCAGAAGCTGCAGGCCCATCCTGTTCTATGCACTGCTAAGCAAACTGTGCTACCCTCTCCCTACCAAGCCCTCCCATCCAGCACCCCTTGAATCAGGCCATGTCCTAAGCCAGCACCGTTGGTTCACTCTGCACATGGAAAGGAGACAGAAATCAAGTCTCACACCAAAGTGCAAAAGGATTATGCTCATGCCCCCGGGACCTTTCAAACTCAGTGGTGCTACAGTGCTGTCACCATTACAGGAGCTGTGGGTTAGCCTGGGACAGTGGCCATCTCAGTTTTGAGACCTCAGCTGTGAAAACTGTCTGTGGTGCATACCTACTATCTTAGGGCACACGGTTATGGACCCAGTGTTTTAACCCCAAGGAAGACACCAGAGCTCATCAAATTCCAAGACTGAAGTAAAGCTCAGCAATCTCCTGGAGCCTTGGCTATCATTTACCAGGTAGTTCGTTTTCAAATTGTGGCGTTGACTCTGGGGAAAATCTCTCAGAAGGGAACTGGGAACGCGGGGTATCTTGTCAGTTATCTTTGGCAGAAAAGAAGATGACACTGAGATAGCTTTACTCTGCCTTAAATGCGGGTGGATAAGAAAGCACAGTTAGAGCAGAAGTAGAAAGATCTTGTCTCCTGGGGAACAAAACCAAAAGAAAACACCAAACAACCCAACCCTAGATCACTCTTCTTCTCCTGGGCTGGCATTTTGCATTTCCCGTGGGGAAGCAAAGTTCTCATTTTGTAGATAACAAACTGTACTACAAGCACATTTTTGCTGACCTTCCAGGAGCCATGCTTTCTCAACATACAACAAGGTCAGGTCTCTAAGAGGATAGGAAACATGCAAGGGACTCTGGACATCCACACAGGCCTGCCCTACACACCTCACCATGACCTCCCTCTTCCTACCTCACTAGCCAGCCTCAGAACAAGCATAACGTGCCCTCTCCCAGTGACTTTAAGCCCTTCCTCCATCTCAAAGAAAGGAAGGCATTCTCTCTTACCCCAAGTTTCTGTGATCACCAAGGCCTCAGCAGCCTGTGCCTCGAGAGAGGAGGCTGTGAAGACACCAAGGAGTCCAGATTCCTAGAAGGAAAACAGCCAGGGGTTACCTGAGAGGGACAGTTGTGCTGGCAACTGCCGCCCCACATCCACCCAGTACACAGGACCTGACATTTTTGGTGGAGACAGCAAGAGAGATGACAAGGTTGGACCTGGCTCACTTACTCTGTGTCCCTGAAGAGCACAGCACTGGTAGGCCTTCAGGCTATCCTCTTGTCAGAGAGGCAGGAAGTGTGCTCTGGGGTGGCCACAGTTCTGCCTAGGCAAGTCTGGCAGAAGAATTGATTTTGAGGAACCAAGGCATAGGCACCAGGTGAATATATAGCCACGTCACTGGGTAAGGTGAAGTAGAGTCAGCACCTCCTTTTTATGCCAGTTTATGAGTTAAACTGAGTCAACACTCTGGGACTTTGAACATTTCATTACTCCAGGAAGTAGAATGGGGAACTTAAATGCTTTGTGCAATTGTGACTCAAATGACGACCACAAGAAAAAAATAGTGAAAGTACATGGGAGACACAGGGCACAGAATGAAGGAGCAGGCTGGAGGGTAGAGGCTCAGGGAAACTTTTTGCTGTATAGTAAAGACCTGTAGGAAAAAAGAAATGAAGTGCTTGTCTCTTGGAAGGAGACCCAGCCTTTCTGTCTTTACCAGCCTTCCCTGAGCAGCCAGGGCCCCAGTGCTTCAAAGAGCAGGTGCTGGGAGGGGTGGAGGAGGAGAGCTGAGGTGTCCTGGAGAGACCAGAAGGAGCATGCCCAAGGCTGCTAAGCCAGGGCAGACAGAGGGGACACCCCCTTCGCACTGCAAGACAAAGGCTCCAGTGGCCTCCTACCACTTTGTTTGGTTCAGTTTTTATACTATGTACGGCAGTACATGCTTTTCCAGCTCTTTGCCTCTAGGACCCATCTCAAGAAAACATAAGCTTTGTTTGTTTGTTTGTTTGTTTGCAGGGTAGGACATGTTTCAGTACATGCATATATTACAAATATTGGGTTTCTTCTGATATTGTCCTAAACTCAAATGACATATTTTGGGTCATATTCATCCCCTTTAAATGGTCTCATTTCCAGTGCCCACAGGTTTGAATGCACAGGGGCCAAAATGCCCAACTCACTGGTGTCTCTGTGGTGTCAATTTTCTGGGGAGCAACACTGAATCCCTCCCCCTGATTCAAGTGCCTGTTGGTGGAAATACAGCCCATCTTTTAAAGTATTTGAGCAAGCAACTTGCCTGGGGAACTAAAAAAAAAAAAAAAAAAAAAAAAAAATTTCGGGTGCTGGAGAGATGGCTCAGTGGTTAAGAGCACTCTCTGCTATTCCAAAGAACCCAGGTTCAATTCCCAGCACCCACATGGCAGCTCACAACTGTCTGTAACTCCAGGTCCAAGGGATCTGATACCTTCACTCCTACGTACATAAAATAAAATTTAAAAAAACAATTAAAAAAAACAAATTAAAAAAAATGTAACTGTGTTGTGGTGCTGAAAGAGAAGAAGGCTCCAGAAGCCCTGATTTGCACAAGAACAGACAGTGACTGAACAGGGTCTAAGGCTTGAGATGGACAGTGCTCCATCTTGCAGGCCTTTGTGGTAACACAAGTCCAGGCATAAGGCTGACGGTGGCTTCCTTTCAATTTCAATTTCCCCATCTTTTCAAGTTTCTGTTTCCTAGGAAAGGAAACAAGACTCTCTCATCTCCTCTGTCTCCGCCCTTCTAACCTCAAGAAGCCAAGGTGATTTCCTGTTGGGCAGTAGTCATCATTTTACAGTTGGTAGGAAGCTCGTGAGCTCTGGCTTGAGACTGACGACACTGTATCAGAAGAAACACTAAATCTCTTGCAGAGCCACGGGGGCAAAAAAATGTGTGGATGAACACTACCCACTGGTTTCTTTTGTTATGACACAGGGTTCCACATAGCCCTGGCTGTCCTTGAACTGGCTGTGTTACCAACAAGGACATGAAACTCGCGGTACATCTGCCACCCTCACCCCCAAGTGTTGGAATTGTAAGTGTGTGCCACCAGGTGTAGCTGTTTTTTTATTTTATTTTCATATATATATATATATTCATATATATATATATAATCATATATATATATATATAATCATAGCTTTTTAGTTAGTGCTCAAAGGAATGCTTCCATAATTTTCATTTGTATGTATCTTGCCCCATTACTGTCCCGTATCTCCATCTGCTCCCCCATCAGCCTCCTAATAAACTTATTTCTACCTTCATACCGTACATGCCAAGCTACAGTTCATATAAGGAGACTTGTGATGGTTTCTTTCCCCCTTCCTGTTAGTCTCTTATCCATCATCCTATCTTTCCGTTTCCTGTGTGTGTGAGAAGCCTCGTGTGTGTTCGTCATGCTAAACACACATTCCACCACTGTAATTTCCAGCTCTGTCTCTCAGGTAATTTGTAGCTTTGTCTCCGCACACAGTTTAGGTTAATTGTCTACATTTGGCAGTTTTGATTCAAACTACTTTGTAAATATTCATTTCACCATTTTCCCATAAAATCTGAAAGGAATAAATATATCAAAATCTTTCTGCTGGAGGTAGGGAGGGAGCTTAGAGGTAGGTGATTTACTAAGTATGTGTGAAATCTGGTGTCATTTTCCAAACACACACACATACACAGAGAAGAGACAGAGACAGACAGACAGACACAGGGAAACAGGGAAACAGAGTCAGGGAGACAGACAGAGAGAGGGAGAGAGACACACACAGAGACAGAGAAACACAGCCAGAGACTGAGAGATCTGGGGTTTTTTTTGTTTTTTTTTTTTACTGTGAATTCCATGAATTTGGCTGTGAGTATGATACACAGCCTTCCTTGGAATAGTCTCTGTTTGCCTTGTATCCTTTTTGTAATGTCACAAGAAGAAAAATTATTCATCTTTCATATTGTTTTATGTTCCCAGAGCTTGGATTTGTGACCACTGAGAACATCCTCTCTGGTCTCCAGATCAAGGGCTGGCTCATGGAGTGACCAAATGGCTCAAGACATAAAGCAACAAGCAGATGTCTCCTTGTCTGAGTCTATGTCTTCAGCAGCAATCCCAGTGCACGTGGGCTTTGTCACCTCCACCTTCACTGTCTCGATCTGTCTGGGAAACTCTGGTCCCCATGTTTTCCCCACCACAGGCCAGGGAGTCTGTGAATCTTGGAGCAAGTCCCCATTCCCTTAGAACAGCAGTTCTCAGCCCTTGGAGCACAACCCCTTTGGGGATGGAAGGACCCTTTAAAGGGGTTGCTGAAGACCATTGGAAAGCACGGATATCTACGTGACTAATCACAGCAGTAGTAAAACTCCAGTTATGAAGCAGCAATGAATACAGTTTTATGGTTGGGGGTCACCGCAACATGAGAAACTCTATTAAAGGGTCACAACACTAGGGACACTGAGAACCACGGCCTTATCTGATATGTCTTACACACACTATTCTGACAACTAGTGACAATGGTCTTTACTCATGCTGTCTGTCTGTCTGTCTGTCTATGTCTGACCCTCCGTATGTCTGTATCCCCTTCTTGACCCTCCCCCTCTAAGAACTTCTTTTTTAATTTTTTATTAATTACACTTTATTCATTTTGTATCCCCCCATAAGCCCCTCCCTCCTCCCCTCCTGATCCCACCCTCCCTCCCCTTTCTGCATGCATGCCACTCCCCAAGTCCACTGATAGGGGAGGTTCTCCTCTCTTTTCTGATCTTAGTCCATCAGTTCTCATCAAAAGTGGCTGCATTGTCCTCTACTGTGGCCTGGTAAGGCTGCTCCCCCCTCAGGGGGAGGTGATCAACGAGCAGGCCAATCAGATTATGTCAGAGGCAGTCCCTCTTCCCATTGCTATGTAACCCACTTGGACACTGAACTGCCATGGGCTACATCTGTGCAGGGGTTCTAGGTTATCTCCATGAATAGTCCTTGGTTGGAGTATGAGTCTCTGGGAAGTTCCCTGTGTTCAAATTATCTTGTTCTGTTGCTCTCCTTGTGGAGTTCCCGTCCCCTCCAGCTCTTACTATTTCCCACTTCTTACATAAAATTCCATTCACTCTGCCCATCAGTTGGCCATAAGGCTCAGAATCTGCTTTGACAGTCTATACTGCAGAGGCTTTCAGAGGCCCTCTGTGGCAGGTTCCCAGGTTGTTTCCTGTTTTCTTCAGGCTTTCAGAGGCCCTCTGTAGCAGGTTCCGAGGTTGTTTCCTATTTTCTTTTTCTTCTGATGTCCATCCTCTTTGCCTTTCAGGATTGGGGATTGAACATTTTAGTTAGGGTCCTCTCTTTTGCTTAGTTTGTTTAGATGTACAGATTTTAGTGGGTTTATTTTATGTTGTATGTTTACATGAGTGAGTATATACCATGCGTGTCTTTTTGCTTCTGGGACAACTCACTCAGGATGATCCTTTCCAGGTCCCACCATTTACCTGCAAATTTCATGATTTCTTTATTTTTCATTGCTGAGTAATACTCCATTGTATAGATGTACCACAGTTTCTGCATCCATTCTTCAGTTGAGGGGCATCTGGGCTGTTTCCATCTTCTGGCTATTACAAATAAAGCTGCTACAAACATGGTTGAGCAAATGTCCTTTTTGTGTACTTGCGCCTCTTTTGGGTATATGCCTAGGAGTGGTATGGCTGGATCTTGAGGAAGCGCTATTCCTAGTTGTCTGAGAAAGCACCAGATTGATTTCCAGAGTGGTTGTACAAGTTTACATTCCCACCAACAGTGGAGGAGGGTTCCCCTTTCTCCACAACCTCTCCAGCATGTGTTGTCCCTTGAGTTTTTCATCTTGGCCATTCTGATGGGTGTAAGGTGAAATCTCAGGGTTGTTTTGATTTGCTTTTCCCTAATGGCTAATGAAGTTGAGCATTTCTTTAAGTGCTTCTCTGCCGTTCTATATTCCTCTACAGAGAATTCTCTCTTTAGCTCTGTTCCCCATTTTTTAAGTGGATTACTTGGTTTGCTGCTTTTCAGCTTGTTTAGTTCTTTATATATGCTGGATATGAGTCCTCTGTCAGATAGAGGGTTGGTATGATTCTTTCCCAATCTGCAGGCAGGCGCTTTGTTTTGATGGCGGTGTCCTCTGCTTTGCAGAAGCAAGAACTTCTTTCTTACTGTACTGCCTTCGCAGGCTTTGAACTCACACTAGTTCTCCGGCCTCCAGCTCCAGAGTGCTGGAATTCGAGCAGGAACCTCCATGCAGTGCACAGTCTTACGTTCCCTTCACTGATGCTGGGAGAAAACTCTCTGAATCTCATCAGAGCTGCATCTCCTGTAGCTTGTACATCCTTGTTGATGCCTCTCACATCCATGTTTAAGCATTAAGAACTGGTTTTGTGGGTGGAGAGATTGTTGAGTGGTTCAGAACACTGACTTCTCCTCCAGAAGACCTGGGTTCAATTCCCAGCATCCACATGGCTGCTCACAGCAGCCTGTAACTCCAGTAACAGGGTATCTCACACCCACATCACACAGGCACATAGACAGGCAACTCATGAATGAACATAAAACCGAAATAAGTAAATGTTTGAAAAAATTATTTAAAAAAGAACTGGTTTTGTTATTGTTTGGTGTTGCCTTTCTCTCTCTCTCTCTCTCTCTCTCTCTCTCTCTCTCTCTCTCTTTCTTTCTAAGAAAGGGTCTCTCTATAGCCCTGGCTGTCCTAGAACTCACCACATAAATAAATCTGGCCTCAAACTCACAGATATCCTCTTGTCCCTGACTCCCAAATGCTAGGCGTAAAGGCAAGAACCACCATTTCAGGCAAAGAAATAATTTTTTTTAAGAAATAATTTTTAATTCATAAATTTAATTCATAATTCATAAAAACCGTTTTGATTTTGAGGCACAATAAGAACAGCTCATCTCTGGATATTTGGGGTTTTAAAGTAGAAGGGTTTGGGGCTGGGAATGTATCTCTAGACCACAGACATGTTCAGAACTCCTTCTAATACTGAGCCACATCCTCAGCCTCTAGAGGGACAGTTGAAAACTCTAAAGAAATATCTTGATGTTGCCAATGGAAAGGGAAATTGAAAGAAAAAATATTAAAGGAAATGAATGCCAGTTCTTCCACCATTAGGTTCCGTGTGTCCAAATCACAACCAATCTTATGATTCCAATGGTGAGTGAGGAGCAAATGCTCTGTGTGTGGTCTGCACGTGTGTGATGTCTAGGGGACATTTGAAGGGTCTGTACCCGCCCCTGACAGAAGGAGAAATGCGTGTCTGGGAGCAGCCTGGGAACTGCTCTTCTGTAAAGGAGCCAAAAGGTTCTGACAAGTAGCTGAGGCTGGGAAGTAATCAGCTTCCTGGCAGCTCTGAGCCAGCTCCCATGAGATGCTCCACCTTTGTCTTCCTCGTGCCTTACAAACTGATTCCTAAGACTGTTCGGCAGTGATTCTCTCCATCTCTAAAGGCTGCAACCAAAAGACAGCAAGGAAAGGGAGACCAGATGGCTGTGGACGGAGCAGCAAGTCACAGTGGCCAGCGGCAGAAACTCACAGTCGAGCCAACAGTACTAAGAGCCACAACATTAACTGGAGGCTCAGAGGGAACATCAGCTGGACGACCACAGCTCTCAGGGTCCTGCAGGCTACTGCAAAGCTGAGAAAGGCAGTCAAGGAGATCGACTGATTGAGTCTCTGTGTCGCTCTAGCAGTTTTCATCCTTTCTTGTAGTTCTGCTTTGTTTGCCTTTCCTATTTCCTTGCTGAACGGCACTTCTTCTAAAATTAGATTTATTTATTTATCATTTATTCAGTACACCGCCTGCACATGTGCCCGTGGGCCAGAAGAGCTCATTATAGATCGGTATGAACCCACCACGTCATTGCTGGGATTTAAACTCAGGTCCTTTGGAAGAATAGTCAGTGTTCTTAGCCTCTGAGCCATCTCTCTAGCCCTGAAAAACACTTCTTGAGCAATTCAGAATGTTTGTATATAAAACTTAAGCCCCCCCCCCCATCCCGGTGTGGTAGTTCTCCTTCAGTCTCAGCCTGGGAGGCCGAGGTAAGGCGATTGCTGCATGTTGGAGGTCATGCTAGGCTACATATTAAGTTTAAGGTTAGCCTGATGTAACCTTAAAGAGTCAGTGTCTAAAATGTTTTAAAATAACCTCTCCCAGTTCTGTGAGGTAGAAAGGGGCTGTGGAGCCACCAACCCAAAAGGGCAGTAGGTTGAATGTGCCAAAAATTGAAACTCAGCCAAACTCCATCTGGATAGGAAAACAAACAAAGTAAAAACCAAGCAGAGCTTGCCTTGTCGGGGCAGGGTAGAGCAAGAATGTGTTTCCTCTTGTGCTTCTCAAATTATTTTATAAATCATTCTATAGTTGCCATACTACAGAATACTTTGTGCCAACTCTGTTTTTAATTTTCCTACTGTAGAGAATGCATTTCTCTGAACATTTCCTGCTATGGAAATCACTGGAGTAAATGTTAGGTTTTAGAGAAGACATGTTAGTACCTAAGAGTAAACAATTTGGTTGATGTAAAATACGGTAAGGGCATTTCTTCATCTCCACATAGGTCAAACAGTTCCGGTCAACCTGAGGTGCCTGTCATTCATTCTGATGGTCAGGGAGGCAGAGAGGTGCAGTAGTTGACATGGACTTTGGAGTCTGTCAGCCTTGGCTTTGGACGCTGGAGTTGGAACTTATTAATTCCATGACTTTCCATATGATGCTTGTCATTTGAAATCAAGGTATTCCCAATTCTAAGTCAGAGCTAATGGACCAAAGTCTATCGATTGATTCTCACAAAGAAGACTTCACTGTGAGTACCATCGCTGAGGTTCTTGTTTGTTTATCAATCTGTTTATTGAAAAACAGATTCAGGGCTGGTGAGGCAGCAGTGAGCTTGCAGGCATGGAAGCAGCTGCTGGAACTTTGCAGATGTTGCTGATGCTGGTCTGGCCTCATCTGAGCTTCTCCTCTCACAAGACCTAAAACACCAGGGCAGCACTTTCCACATCATAGACCATAGGGCTGTGTATTATTTACTAATGTGACTGAAAGGAAAGAAAGTTAAGGGAGAAAGGTGAATGGGAAAGGGGTGGGAAGTAAAACAGCAAACAGCTGAGGCAAGAATTTCTGAAAGAAACAGCAACTGAAATGGAGCTCAGGTGGGGAGATGTTGGAGGGCTTCCTTTACACATGAGTAGAGGTAGTTGGGGTAACACCCAGGGAGAGAGGGATCTGTGCTCCCACGTGGATGGCAGAAGCAGCTGAGGCTTGAAGGTCCCACTGGCGATCACTCACTGAATCAAGTCAGGACTAATGGTATTGTCCCAAGGCCCAAAGAGAAACCTTTCCAACTTTCCTAGCTAAGTGTATTGAGATTGCTAATTCCCACGCCTGAGCCTGGCTAGCCACATCATCAGTCTCTTGACCCATTCCTCCATGGTAAACCTCTTCACACAGCCGTCTTCCACGTGCCAGGAATCGGGCTCTGCAGTGAACACTGCGCAGCAGAATCTCTCTACTCTGAGCGCACAGACATATGAACACACATCGCTTGAATCATGGACTTCGATGAATTTGCATGTGTATTTTATGTTCTCCTTCTCCTCACATATATGCATGACAGGCAGCTGTTGGATGCACTTTTTTATTTCCCTCTCTAAGAACGTAAGATCTCCCCGCTCTGCTTCAAAACCAATTATTTGCCGCATGTCTTCATCCAAACCAATAAACAAATACCCCCCATCAGTGTTGGCAAATGCAGAAATAGTTTGAGGGAGAATCTCTTTAACTCGTTGAAAACACTTTTTTGTTGCAAATGATTTATATTCAACATTTTTGGATTCACTAAAGGAGAATTTTTCCATTTTTGTGAGTCTTGTCTGGTCAAAAAGAGCAGCAGCCAACTCTTTCACATGGACCTCTTCTTGCACACCCTCTCTGGAGCTTTCGACTTTCACCCTTTTTTCTAAGGGCACTCTTCTGCTAGTGTCGCCCATGCCTTCAAAGTACATCAGAACAGTATCTAAATCCATTGGATGAGAAGATGTCCCATTTCTCACGTACAAATTGGTTGCAATGGTGGCAGGCTTCTCACCAGAGGTCTCCAGATTCTCTTGTTTCACAGATATGGACAAGTAGCATCCTTCTAGTTTATAGTGTAGTTTCCAAACAGGGAGCATAACAGCATGAAGAAAGGTATCCAAATTTTCTTTTATTTCACGTGTGGTGAGGCTATTGTCTTGATTTTCAATTTGAGCCTTGATCTCTCCCCCTCCAGAATTTTGCAGAGCACACAGAGCTCTTAAAATCTTTGTATTCTGCTGTGTCCTGTCGTCATCCTTCGTTCCCTTCCTATTTTTCATAGGAAGTGTGATTTTTCCTACATTTAGAACCAGCTCAGGAGTCTTGCTTTCAACTATGATGCTCATTTCCCCAGCAGCCATTCCGTTCCAATGCTGAAATTCTTTCCTGTAAGAAGACAGACAGAGCCATTAGAATAGGGCTGGAGAGAAGAGAGCAAATTCTGTGCTGGGAAGCTAACAGCAAAAAATATTTGCTTGATGTGTTCCACAGTCCTGGTGAGTGTGCAGGTGGGGAAATGGTTATTTGGGGGTAGATTTTTGAACTGTGATAGCCTGTGTATGTTGTGACTTCTCATAGTGTTTTCTTGTGTTCCTCATAATCCTTCTACATTTCCAACTCATTTCATCAGTGACCTTCCTCCTTCCTAATTCTCAATGTTATGTAACTTAGATTCTGTCGCTCGCTCTCTTTCAATAAACTGCAAAGGCAATTTGTCTATGTTTTTAAATTTCTGTTTGTTTGTTTATTTTTTAGGAAATAAAGTTTTGTTAGAAAACCACATATGCTTTTTTTTTCTTTTAATAATTTCAGGCATTCGTTTCTCAGTTGTGTATTTTCATGGAGAGACATTTTGCAAAATTTCCCATGGGGATCTAAGGACATAGAACTATAGAGCATGTGAATTAGCTTCCTTCTTTCTGGATATAAATTGAATTTTCAAACTTTGGCCATTGATGTTGAAGAGTATGGACCAGCCTATGGTCCTCTTTTCCTACTCGGCACCCACATAGTTCCAGCGAGGAGGGGTTCTTACACATAGAACAGGAGTGTTATGCCCCAATGCTTGCTTCCTTTCCATGGTCATATTTCCTTCCTCTCACGGTAATGAGGCCTCTTGAGGGTGGGGTAGGTCATGAAGAGAGAGTCATCTAAATGGCCCCAACGTTCTGGTAGAAGGCACTCCAGAAAGCTAAGCTCAGCCTGTACCACATAATGTCCCAGTGACATCGTGACAGTTTTCAAAGAGAGGAGCATTTCCCTAGATGCTGACCGTGAGGGCATCTTGATTTGCACTTCTACCTCTACATTGTGAGAAGCAAATGTCTGTTTTCCATCACCCACCAACCTTTTGCCATTTTGTTACATCATCATAATCAATGTTGTATAATAATGATTGTCTTTTAAAAAAAGACTGTGACCGGGTATGAAATCCCACATGTCGCACTGCTGTGTTACTAAAGGAGCCCCCTACTCAGCTTTCAAGCCTTTGCTGGAACTATACCAGTACCCTGGTTCAGCGTGACTAAGGCTTGGGTATGCCAAACACATCTGGTTCTCACTGAGCCCAAGAGATCCCTCATTGAGTCCCTCCCTAGTCTTAGACACAGTATGGTTCAGACATCTATAAAGATCTGCTGGAAAGGAGGAAGGGGGCAGAGGCCAGAACAGATAGAGAGAATAAAGCCAGACTCCAGAGAGTATGAAATGGAACCCTGAAGGAGCTGATCATCTGTCAAACGGTTGGAATTTCTGGAAATACAGACTTAGGCTAAAACAGGAGGACATACTGGCCTTCTGCTTGAGGTATGTAAATGACCTAAAATCATCAAAGCACTTACAGCTAAACACATGGAGAGCAAGCTTCTGAAATCAGAATTACTCAGTCAAGTGATAAGACACCTAAGAATCTGGAAATGAACTAGCAAATGCTTCCCTGGAAGATGGCATCAGACTTTACCAGACCTATTGTGGGCAAGCCCACAGGCCTTCATCTAGTGCCTTTAGGGGAGCATGCTGTGACTGCAAACCTGGAACCAACAGCAACAGACACAGCATCCCTCGGGGCTGCCTAGAAACTCAGAGCTGAGCAAGGACAGAGCTGCCCTCCTGAGAGATCTTCATTCAAAGAGACCCCAGCGGAGAAAGCATTTGAGCCTGACCTCAAGACATTCCAGAAGTGAGGCTGGGGCAGAAGTCCTGACTCCTGGCAGAGGAACTCCAATGAAACTAGACAGAGGCAATCAGGTGTGGGTAAGTTTAGGGTTCAATAGCCTTGGTGTGACACAGCTCTGCAAAGAAAGCAGAGAGAATGACACAGAGACAGAGAAAGAGTGAGGGGGTCTATTTGTGTCTTGCTGATCTTTCTTTCCCTTATTATAGGTGTTGCTTGGTTCCTATTTCTTCCAGGGGAGGGCTGCCCCACACTTGAGACCATTTTGCTCATGGCCTGCCAGAAGACATCTTCACCATCACGGCAAAAGGAAGCAGGGAGCAGAGGGGCTGGTGCACACATGTTATCCCAGCACTTGCAAAGCTGAGTTGGAAGACAACCTGAGCTGTATCCTGGGCAAGATTCTGTCTGCCCAGAATATAGTCTCCTTGTTGGCTAGGCATTGGGGTGGCGGTATAGGTGGGGCGGAGGCACGGAAAGGAAACCAAGAAACAAAACTGAAAGTCTAGTGGGCCAAGGGAAACACAGTTTCATTTCTGATCAGCTGGAAGCTGCATTTCCACCCTGTTCTACGCACTGCTGAGCAGTCTCTGTTCCTCATTCCCTCCCTGCCCCTTCCATCCAGCGCCCCCTGATTTAGGTTCTGTCCCAAGCCAGCACCCTGCCTCACTCTCCAAAAAGGAAAGGGGACAGTAACCACATCTCACAGAGAGCTGAAGGAAGGTGCTCATTCACTGGCAAATTTGGAAATCAAGGGAACTGGAGTAGAATCATCTTATAGAGAATCTGTGGGTTGGTCTGGGACCTGGGCTATCTCATGTCAACACCTGTGACTATAAAAATTTTCTATGTCAGCATCCTAAGCTGGACTCTGAGCTCACCAAATTCTAGCACCTAACTGAAACTTGCTGATTTTCCAGAATCTTCGAGTCTGGTTTAAACATCAGTTGTTTCTTTCAAAATTCTATATAGCATTCAGTGGAGAAAATTCTCTCAGAGCTGCACTGAGAACTTTGGCTGCTGTTATCTTTGACAGGAAATAGATGACAGGTATCCCTAGACCTACAAGCAGGTTGGAAGGAAAGCACAGAATGGGGCATAGGAGCAGAAGGAGCTGCCTCTTGGGAAACAAATGACCCTGAAGCATTTCCTGCTAGGATGCAGCTTTGTCTTCCCTGGAGCCTTCCCTGCTGGAAAGCAATATTCCCTGGTAGGATGCAACTTTGCATCTTTCTTGAGTGAGCAATGATCTCATCTTCTAGAAAAACAAAACAAACCTCTCCACGGTCTAAGGTTCCTAGCTCTTTTTAGTTCTGGAGTGCAGTTCCTCCCCAACTAAAGGACAGAGTCAAGTCTTGAAGAAGATGAAGCACCCTCAGAAGGGCTTGGAGACCTGCCCAAGCCTGACCTGTGCATACCTCTTCATCCTGCCTTACTAACCCCCACTTCACTCTCTCAGAACCTCCCAGACCCCTCTATCATGGAGCTTTAAGTGCCCAGCCCAGGCAGACCAAGGGATTTTGCTCTCATCCCATGCTCCCCTAGTATCCAAGTCCACAGCAGCCCATGAAGGAGGCTATGAAGGTGCCAGGGAATCAAGGTTCCTAGAAAGGAGACAAAGCAGCTGGGGTCCTCTTTAGGCTCTAGGTTATAGTGGCGGCCCCCACCTCACCCCAGAGCCAGCAGAGTAAATTCTGGGTGGGCTTGGGAGCAGAGGGGGCTAAAGATGTGGAGATGGAGTGTGCTGCCTTGCAGTGCTGCTCACTTACCTGCCCGGAGCTGATCAGAGAAGCTCACTCAGCTGCTGACTTGGCTGTGCTGTGGACACCTGCTGGACGAAGCAGGAAAGCTCAAGCTGGAAACAGACTCCTACAGCAGAGACTTGGTGGCTGTCACTAGAAGTCTTTCTTAGCAACTGGATTTGAGGGACACCCTTCAGTGCCTGTGATCACTCCCAGGTTTCCTCTGGGCAGGACTTTGTGGTTTGAACAGATTACTCCACTCTAAGTACTGATTTCAGTTTTGAAGAACCCGTGTGTTATTGGTCAGCGTCACTCCAGGAAGTGTGAGAACTCTTTGCAAGCTCTTTGATCCCCTTCTGTGGTTGTCATTTGACCTGTCAAAATTGAAGACTTAGGCTCCTAGCCTTGGTCACTCAACCTTCACAACTTCACTTGAATCCTCAGGGCAAAGCTGCTGCTGCTGTCCTCATACTCAGAAAGAGCAGGTGACACTGGGCAAGGCACTGTCAAAGCCTTGCAGGGAAGGAGCGTGGAGGGATGCTAAGCTGGGGGAGGCAGTGTAGGATGCTGTCTCAGAAGGTGCAAGCTGCATCTCTCCGCCCTTTGGGAAGATAGGTTTCTGTGGGAGCCTCCAAGAGCTATCCTAAGCAGACAAGACTCACCTACCACATTTTTTTTTTCTGTGCCCTCTCTTAGGATAATTATGGTAATACAAGTTTCTCTGACTCACTGATGATCCAGAAACCAGGCTTGGGGAGAAAGATGAGTCTCTGGAGTCGATAGGAGAGGTGAGAGGTAAGAGAATAAGGAGTGAGCAGGGAAGCAAGAGCCTAGGACAAAGAGGAGAGGAAAGGTGAAGGGATAGAAGACAGGATCCCCAGGAATCCCAGCTATTGGTGCCTCTCCACCATCAGCCTCAGGCAGGCGAAAAAGCCTGTGGGTGACTTGAGCTCCCTTGGTCAAGACAGCCTGGTTGAAGGGGAATGGATCAAAAATGGGGCTTCTGCATTCTTCCCTGTGTTCCTCCCTCTACCTTAACAGCAGTAAGTAGCATAGATGTTAATTTCATACAGCTGGGTTTGGATCATTTGTTACACACCTGTAGTTAAAGCCACACTGCCACATGCATTCGTTACCTTCTGGCCTTTCCATCACTTCCTGAGATGCTGCATCCTCAGAGGGAAGTAGTGCCCAAGAACTTGCACACAGGGACAGAGGAAGCAAGAGCTCCAACATGCCACCTTACATGGTCACTAGTTCACGTGAGGCTTCATCTTCAGGCTTTGTTAACTTGCTCCCTTCCTCCGTGGACCCATTTCCATGCTGGGGCTTTGGCTTATGGATGCGGTGGGTGAAGAGGACACATCCAGTTGATCACACTGGCCCACAAGACTATACAAAGGAGGGAAATTACAATCCAAGAATGACTTGTTAAAATTGTTGAGGATTAACATTCATGGTCAGCCTGACCACACTTAAAGAGTTTTCTAGGAAACATTTCTGGTTGGTCAGTGAGGAAGTCTGCAGAAAGGCTTAGCCGAGAAGGGAAGACCCACCCTGATATGGGCACTTAATCCCATGGTCTGGAGTCCTGGGTTGAATGAAAACCAGCATTTACCACTCTCTGCGTCTTGAATTTGGACACAGTGTAAGCAGTCACCGTGACTAGAGGCCTCCTTACCCCACTCCATACCTACCATGATGGGTTCCACCCTTGGGTATGTTGCCATAGCAACCAGAGATGCCAGCAATACCATATGTCAGAGCAATAAGTAGAACTAAGCTGTAAACAGTAATAGACATTGATTGGCTTTGGTGGGGCTGGATTGAGGAATACGGATCAGACCTAGGTCATCTAAGTTACACCTCAGCAAACATGTTTACATTTTGTTTACTTATTTAGGACAAGGTCTTAGATGTACCTCAGGCTGACTGGGGCGCCTCATGCAGCTGCTTACCAAGCTCCTCATTCTACTGCCTCATCTCCTGGTGCTATAACGTGTGTGATCAAGTCCTGCTGAACTCAGTTAAAAAATAGATTCATCTGTGTTTTTTCTTGTGTATGAGTGTTTTCCTTGCATGTGTATCTGTGTGTCTCTTGTGTGCATGGAGCATGCAGAGAGCAGAAGAGGGCATCGTATCCCATGGAACTGGAACTGGGTAAAGAGACCCCTTGTTAGGGGTGATGTTCTTATTTCATCACGGGCAGAGCAGATGGCAGTCCTTTGTTCCTAGCTTGATGCCTGGTTAGGTGGTCAAAGCTGTCTGATGCCACAGACTCATCAAAATCAAATGAAATCAAATTCAGACAGTGCAATGCAGAGCAGGAGGAGGAAGAAGACAGACAGACAGAACCATGCAGATGGTCAAGCCATCCACACACCTGCCCTCCAGAGCACAGCATAGGTAGAGCATAGGCACCTGCTTGCTGCCATGCCATGCATCAGGAATGAAGGGTGTCACCCAGGGGCCTGCCAGCCATGTGGCCAGCCTGCAGTGGGAGGCACCACAGTGTGGGAGGCTGTGGTGACCAGATGGGAGGGAAAGAGAAGTGGAGCAGCTTGAACATTGTGAAGAGAGATGGAACTGGAGACTCAAGGGTGGAGAGGCATAGCCTGTTGTGAAGGGCCAGCCCTGCCCTCTGGGGCCATGGTTAGGTCCTAGCCCAAGCTGCCACTGAGGGCCATGAAAGAATCCCTGGCTATGCAGCAGCAGATGTTGTGTTTGTGGCTCATGTTACCACTAAGGAACATAGTGACCGTCCCTGGTTAGAGCAGCCGCCTGCGACCACCTGGATGTCCAGGGGCTGTGGATAACTGGCCCCGCCCCACACTGGTTAGAGTGCTCCAGAGAACTGGCCCCATCTCTCACAGCTGTTAGCGTTCAGGTTAGCAGGCCTGTACCTCTCCCAGGCAACAGAGTGGAGCTGGCCCTGGTGGCAGAGGTTTGGGTGAGCTGGCCCTGGTGGCA